AAACAGCCTTTTCTGCTAAACAAGCTTGTTCTTTTTAGCCAAGTTACATGTCGTTTGTACAAATAAGAAAAAAAGGAGTCTGTTCTACAACGATACCTGATAAACAAATAAGAGTCAGTTGTTGTTCATCGAAAATTCTACCTCTTATGTCTTTGAAATCCCATAAAAAATAAACCATACGACAAACTGTTTATCTTCTGTCAATCATTCAATCATTCATTTAGGTTACCTGAATGATCTAACATGTTTTACTCTCCTAGTGACTGTGATGTATTCAAGACTGATTAACAAGCAATAAACAATTGTTTTGTTTGTCTTTACATATACCTTGAGATGTTGATATTTCGATCTAAATTTTATGACTTGAGTAACTTAATGGTAACATCATTGAGTGATATGAATTATCATTTAAGGTAGGATATCAGTTCACTAAAGATTGCAGAAGATAGCAATGTTTCAACTAAAGGCGGCACAGATGAGGACATCAAAGCAGCCAGCATCAGAAATACAGCAAGAGAGGAGTTCATTAACCTAAAACCAGTGTAGAGATCTTCTGCACCACACTCAGCATAAAGCGTGAACAACGTCCGAATTTTCAACACCAATTCAGTCAAGTCAGTCAGTGCTTCTATGTGATGGTTGAGAGACTTGGCGTGTTGCGAAAGGCATTTCCACCAAACTACAGATATTCATCAACAACTGCCTACGTTGGCTCGTTACTGAAGTTCAGATAGGTAGAACGAATAAGCAACAAGAAACTCTGACTTGCTGGCTTTCTGGCTGTCTGGCTGACTGGCAACGAACCAAGGAAGCGAGAGGCTATCGCTGAACAAATATGCAGTGGAAGGAAGTGGAGATGAATTGGATTGGGCATACACTGAGAAGACCACTCGAGGATATTACGCTCCAGGACAAGCCCTCGATTGGAACTCAGATGGGAATTGACGAGTTGGGAGTCCGAATCGAGTGTGACATGGATGAGATTGTGTGAGGAATAAATGAGAGATTGTGGGCATTGGTGGAGCCAGGTTGAAAAGATTGCGGAGAAGAGTGTAATGTAGACGTGCTACTGAATCGGTGTGTTCCACTAGGAACCCAAGGGACAAATAATAATAATAATAGTAATAAAGATAGCAGATGCACCTTGTTGATGAGTGGCAATACACAAGAAATTTAGATCCATTCAATACTTATTTGGTTTGCTTTTAAACAATGTATATTACCTTTTTTTTGTATAAATTGAATGAATATAGTTTTCGTAGCCTTTTCTACAAGATTCTATTTTCAAGATATATAGTATACAGTAATGTTAAGCAAAAGATAACAACTTGTATTAGAGAAATCAACTTAAATCATAAATAAAATGTCTTTTATCAATTACTTATGGGTTTAAGTTGATTAGGTACAAGATTGATGCATTGCTTAACAAGCAATGAAGTTATTAAACACACATCTCATTTACATACTATATTATCTGACTTTCATTTTCCTCTAAATTGAATAATACTGAATGTTGACTTATATATCAAGTTTATATTTCTTGTGTATAAGATATACGATAATTATAAAAAGTCATTTATTGGATTTATACAAGATATCAATGAACATCAAAGGTTGATGCTATGTGCATTCAGATCCTGAATTGAAGTTATTCAGCAAACAATCTAAATTTTTCAAGTTGTTATTCATCTTAGACTGATATGAGTTGGCGGAACAAAGGAAACCTGAGAGTACTGGACAGTTGTTTCGTCCGACTAGTATGAGACTCCTCAGAAGTACACCAACGACTCAACAACTGTCAGTTTACAATGAATAAAAGCTTGAAATATTTCCTAATCCCCACCCATAACTCCTTCAAAAATCTAACGAAGTTACGGCGAGTTATTCAAAAATTTAATATTTGATCATGAAAATTCAATAAACATGAAATACATCACTTATATTATAAAGAAGATAGACAAAACAATGAAATTCAATGACACAATAATAAGTTAATTGAAAAGAGTAATCGGACAAAATCAGTTGTTTGACAACAAAAGTCTGTGTACATATGGCTAGGTCCGTATTCGTTTGAAGCCTAAACTACATGGAATGTATTTATTATATTATTATTATTATTACTTGTGCCTTGGGTTCCTAGTGGAGCACACCGCTTCAGTAGCACGTCTACATTACACTCTCTTGTCTACGATCGTTTCAACCTGGCTCCACCAATGCCCACAAGCTCTCATTTATTCCTCACATAATCTCATCCATGTCACCCTCAGCTAACACACGCCCAACTCATCGCTTCCTATCTCGTTTCAAATCGACAATCTGGCCTGGTGTGTGATGTCCCCAATCGGTCTTCTCAGTGCATGCCTAGTCCAATCCATCTTCACTTCCTTCCACTGCATAATTTATCAGCGATAGCCTCTCGCTTCGTTGGATCGTTGCCAGTCAGCCAGACAGCCAGACAGCCAGCAAGTCAGAGTTTCTTGTTGCTTATTCGTTCTACCTATCTGAACTTCAGTAACGAGCCAACGTAGGCAGTTGTTGATGAATATCTGTAGTTTGGTGGAAATGCCTTTCGTAACGCGCCAAGTCTCTCAACCATCACATAGAATCACTGACTGACTTGACTGAATTAGTGTTGAAAATCCGGATGTTGTTCACGCTTTATGCTGAGTGCAGTGCAGAAGATCTCTACACTGGTTTCAGGGTAATGAACTCCTATCTTGCTGTATTTCTGATGCTGGCTGCTTTGATGTCCTTGTCTGTGTGACCTCTGCCTTTAGTTGAAACGATGCTGCCTTGCCTAGGTATGTGTGGATGAAGGAGGCTACTTCCTTAAAGTTTCTCCCGTTGATAGTGTTGTTGTTGGTGGTGGTGTTGGTTGGGTATCTTCATCGCTTGTGTCTTGTCCACATTCACTTGAGTTCCCATCTTCATTGGCTGCCTAGCGTCTTCTGTCAAGGTGTTAGTTTTCATCTGTAGATCTTTGAGTTTGTGTTACATCAAACGCAAATCGTCATCGGCGAAATCCAAATCTTCTAGGATCTTTTACGCGTTGCAGCGTATCCCCCTCTTCTCGCTCCTCACTGTTTGCTGCTTGATCCAGTGCACCACAATCAGGAAGATCATGGATGATGGTAGACAGCCTTGTTTTATTCCTGACTTCACTTCAAAGGCATCACTGAGCTTCCCATTGTGAATTACTTGACATATGGCGTCTTCATATAGTTGTTGAATGAACATCGGATGTATCTGTGATTATTTAGTTCCAAAAATATCTTGAAATTCTGATAAAAACGAGGTAAAGAAAAGAGCTAGACTTTTAGGATAGCATTATTAAAGAACTGATTTCAATTGGGGATCATTTAAAACCAGGGAGCACTAGACAACTGTTTTGACATAAAATTGTACTTCTTAGCAGTATGCACCCATGACCTCATCGGAGACCCAACTCACAACCTTCATGTCTCACTGCAAACGCATCAATCATCCAGCCAATGGGTTGAAAAATAATGGTCCAGAGTCTTCTACTTTTGTCAATTCTTGATATAACACGAATATGCACTGTGGTCTTCACTCGGCATTAGTTACGCTACCGACTGGCTGACGATATAGGCCACGGTTCCTCATAATGACTTTGAAATATCTATCTCCTAGCATCTTACGAATTCACAGTATGCAGTAAGGTAGTTTAGGTTTTATTTGTGCTATAGCAGTATTCATCGCAGACTGACATTAGTAGTAGAACCATCAGAAATCTAGAATTTTGTTGAAGTGTTCTGCTGGTATCTTAAAGCCTGGATAATAAGATGTGACTGCTTTGCGAAAAATTCAACTTTGTAAACTGCTAGTCTGTTATGCTGCTGTTTAACCATTTCCAAACAATCCACTTCTGATTACATTACCCTTTTCTTTAAACGTAAATGCTGCAATTATATTCAACAGAAACCGAAAATCTTTCTAACTCAGATATTTACCTCGATTATTCTGACTGTTCCTCTTCATGAGCTACTAAGGCAACTTCTCATTTATTCATTGTTATGAAGAATTTATCACATCACCATTAGTTCTCTATAGAAGCCATCAAAATCGGTGTATTACGGCTGAATGAAAGAGGTGTCCACGGCTTCTATGTTTCTAAGGGTTTTACACCTATTGTCGGCTCATGGTGAATACTTCCCTGGAGTCATTCAATCTAAAAAAACTGTTAGCCATCTTGCTTTCATCATTAATACGGCTCAAGATGTATTTTCTGAATTTCTAGTGAAAAACTATAAACTATGGGATCGAGTAATTCAGGTACAACAACCATTACTAACCAAAAGTATTGAATTATAGTCACACTGTACTGCAAGTCAACAAAAGTGAGAAAATGTGGTGCAAAGAATTTCAGCCACGTGACTGAATGACAACATGCCAGCTATGAGATCTGACGGTCGTGGGGTCAACCTCCTGAAGAGTCACGGGTACACACTGTAAAGTAATTACATATTAGAATGAAAGAGCTATACAGTGTCTTCATGTCTCCATTGTATCTTCATATGATGTCAGTTGGTGACGAATACTATATTCAAAACGAACTATTTGCCATGTTATCACTACTAACCGATGTTATGCATGAAAACTAATTAAAATATAAAAGAATTGGGTATTTGGGCCCGTAAAAACAAAGCTTACATCAATCCATATGAGATTTTAGAGAAAACTTGTGAAAAGCGTTACCCCTTTTGATATCCTGAAAAGCCGGGACATAAAATAACTATACACCCTAAGTCTATGATTGTAAGTAAACCAATTTTTGCGACTTATTCTACGTTAAACTGTCAATGACTGTAATGATTCTCACACAAGACAATAAGAAGTATATTTTTAAGTTATAAGTTTAAGTGTAAAATCCTTTTCCTACACTTTGTTTGAATTGTACTCATAAATAAAGAACTTCTTTATGTACTTCTTCTCGTTGGTAACTTTTCTCACTTTTTTTCTCTACGGTTTGATTATTTTAGCTGCCTACTTCATCACCATCATCCGTTGCGATTTATCCAATTGAAGATGATGGTCATAAGGTAAGTAGAAAGCGAATTTTAAATCTCAAATTAATTTATACAGGATGATGATTGAAAATGAGATGAAAATCTGGACCGGATTCTAGCCCGATGGTCGCTGGTTCGAACCCTGCCGCGGTTCAGATTTTCATCCCACCTTCAATAATTGCCCAGTATAAATACTAGTCTACCAAGCTACTGCAATCTTAGATAGTCAAATGATAATCAGGATGATGCTTCCCCTCTCTGATTTAGTTAGATTTGGATTATGATGAAAAGTCCCGACTACGCAGCCAGTTTGAATACGACCAAGAGGTAGTAACGTGTCACGAATTCACATGGTAGTCAGTCAAAACCTGTGATGATTGAAGCTAAATAAATAAAATCGGACCTCATAGTTCATTTGGTAGAGCACCGGGCCGGTAACCCGGTGGTCGCTGGTTCGAATCCGGTCGCGGTCCAAATTTCCATCTCACCTTTAATCATCATCTAGATGGTCAAATGACACTCAAACTAATTGTTTATACATGGCTATCAGCAAATGCAGGTATTTAAGGTTGTATTCATCACGAATTGACATCTTCCAGTGAATCATTAATAACCTAGAAACACGGAAAAGTTGTTTTTTCATAGTACGGAACACGTTAGTCGGACACACTCATGACCCCATCAATGATCAAACTAAGCACCTTAAGAAATCATAACGAACTTGATAACAATTCAATCACCGGGTTGCAGTTCAACTTTTTACAGTCTCATACTTCTATCAATTAGCTACGATCCACTAAGGTCTTCAGTTGGCCTCCGTTTCACTTGCAAATGGTTAACCCTACAGGTGATGAATTCTCATTAGAACTTCGAAATACCCATCACAAAGCATGTTAATAACTAATAATATACAGTAATTTATTTATTATTACATTCTTCATGGACTGATAACACATCCACACTTAGCCATTCATAAATGAGATGCTTTTCATTATAGGCTTCACATTCTTAAAACAGCTGAATAACTAAGAGATTAGTATGTAATTGTCATGATTTTGATAACATACAAAAATGACTTCACATTAAGGTATGGAATAAAGTCCAGCAGTTTCATAACACCAGTCACTCTTATGAAGGTGACTAGGCAAAACAACTATCTCGTCTCAGTATCAGACTCCTCAGAAGTGAGTGCCTAGTAACCAACTGGTAAGGTGCTGGTAGCAGAACCTGAAGGTCATGTAATCCAGCCTGCTGAAATCGCCGGTGCGCAATTCTGATGAGTCGAATTTTAGGACAAAACAGCTAACTAGTAATTCCAACTTTCCTATGTTTCTGTAACTCATATCAGTCCGTGATGAATACCAACCTGAAGGCAAAAAATCCCTACAAACCACAAAAGTGAACGAAATATTTATACATCAGCAGCTAAAGGCTTTATAAACTGTCATCGGAAACGGTCAGTAAAGTTAGTAGGTGATGAGAGCTATAGGCCAACTCAAGGCCATCAAAAACTGCTTATACGATTGGATGTATCTCTTTTAAAATCAAAGACCAGACTTGAATTGCTACACTACTAAAGCTTTTGGTATGTTGAGGTGGTAAATTCGTATTTACGCCCGACAGTAGCTGTATTTCTCGACCTGAAGGCGGCATTCGACTCCGTTGATCGACAAGTCTTATGGCAATGTCTCCCACTGAAAGGTGCGTGTACCGAGTAAGTACATCACCTTATTGAAAGCTCTATACTCGAACACTTGTGGGCGTGTTAGAGCCTATGATGAGATGTCGGGTGAGCTGTACTCATAGAGTGGTGTCCATCAAGACTGCCCACTCCCTCCATTTTTATTCAACTTTACCATAGATATTCTCATGAAGGTTTCCCTCTCGTCGCCTGATTACACAGACGTTGGCCTAATAGCGGGAGAGTTTTCGTTAGACTTAGAATATGCAGATGACATTGTCCTGTTAGATGAAGACGCTGACAACATGCAGTCATTGAACACTTTGAGTAGCAATTTGAGAATGTTTGAGATGCGTTTCTCACCATCCAAATGCAAATTATTGCTCCAGGATTGGTCTTCAGCGGTGCCACGGCTAACAATAGAGAGTGTAGTGGTTGAGTGTGTCGACCACTTGACTTACCTGGGAAGTAGGATCAACCCTTGTAGGTCAGTTCCCGATGAAATCTCTGCACGGATACAAAAGGTTCGGTAGGCTTTTGCCAATTTATGCCACCTGTGGTGCTGCCGTGATATCCGTTTTTCTACTAAGGGTCACGTAGACTGCACAGTAATCCGGTGGTTGGGGTCCGCAGGACAAGAAGAACCAATGGTTGGGGACTGACTGTAGGTGATATGTCTCAGAACTTATGTTAGTGGTGCAGATGTATACACACACACATTATCCTCATCCTAACGACGCTACACTGAATCTCACCATTCTGTCATTCCTCTTTTCTTTCTTCTCGCACTTTATATCTCTTTTGGCTGAATTCTCTTGTCTTCATCCTTCACCTCACGGTCTTTTTACTTGATGTAGTGATATGAGGTGTGGCAATTGGACCGTTACGTAGTAATGCCTGTTCCTATGTTGATATTGATTGATTGAGACGTTTCTCGCAATAATAATAACGACCAGAGTAGTCTTCCAAACTGAAGAACTTGATATTACAGGATTATGTAGTTAAGTCATTAGATAAATAGTCGAAAATGCAAAATATTGTGATTTTAGTCAACATTGTTTTAAAATCCTTCTATGTGAATAGGAGATATTTGTTGGTGGGTGTCTTAAAAGATCACCCTAGCAACTAATGAGACAGCCAATTACATCCCTTTATTTTATGGAAAAATACTTTTTCAGGCGAAATACCGAAGCTTGATTGGTCATCTCAGTAGTTGTTAGGGTGGTCTTTAAAGTCACTATAATTGGTTAAGGAGCAATCAGCAGAAGGCCTTGCACCCAAGTTTCCTGCTTTCTGACGCTTATCAACAAGTCGTATCTGCAACGTTGACGGAGCCGGTATCCCACTTGAGATTCAAACACGCATCACCCAGTATTGTGATTAACCTCCCTTAGGAGTGAGCTAAAAAGTAGTGATTAACTCAGTGGCTCTATTTTGGAACTCTTCTATAATCTGCACCCAGCACCCTTTCAGTGGTTAAGTCAAGTCAAGGACCTTCCAGCCATGCAGTGAGCACACTGGATTTCAGTCACTGCTTCGTATCATCTTTACAACTCCTATCAATTCGTGACACAGTGACTGTAAATATAAATACTCGCTGCTAACACTGGATAATGGTAGTACCATATATTGATTAATCACGGGGAGAAACCGACTTCATGTTGTCTACTCCCGAGTGTAGACCGAATTCTATCGATCATATTTGCAATGTGGCAACCAGGCTAGAAAGCTCAGCATCGCGGTGCACATTAGCAAATGTTAGTTGGTTGGAGGCAGTCGGCAGGAAACCATGCTTGTTGGTGATCATATTGCAAATATGATCGACAGGATCTGGTCTATACTCAGGACTAGACAATATGAAGTTAGTTGCTCTCCTAACAGGATGTCAGTCGTGGTCTGAATAGTTCAGTGGTAAAGTTGCTGACTGCAATTACTTGGTGATACCGGTTCGAACCTCAGACGGGACATCAGTCCCATCGAGGTTGTAGATACGCCTTGCTGACAAGTGCCAATAAGCAAGAAACCTAGGTCTAAGACTTCCTGCAGGTTGCTTACTATCGACTAACATCTACTGATTGTAGTCCCATGTCATTAACCCACATATGTAGGCAACCCAAATCACTTGGTGCCAATTTGGTAACTAACAAATAAAATTCCCCGCTATCAGATATGGTCTACCTAATATCCATCTACTTTGGGGTTGTGTATGAAAATTTCCTTGCAGTTTCAAGGTTTTCAGTGACTCATGATGAAGAATTCTCTGTAGCTAACCTACGTCCAATGAGCCCACAAAATTATTATAAAATTCAAAACTGGGTAATGAAATATACAAATAAATTTCTATTAGTTATAAAAGATTAACAGCAGGAAATCTCAGTTTCATGAAAACAAATAATCATAGTTCAGTTTTTAGGTTTACCACGTAAAACCGTAACATGTGTTCTATAGCTGAGCATTTATAGAAAAACGTTGTATTTACATTCACTCGTCACACTCAAAGTAGAACTAAGAAAGTAACTTAAACTTGACTGCCACAAACTATTATCAAATTCATAATGGATTATTATATTATTATTTATCCCTTACGTTCCTAGTGTAATATATAGCTTCAGTAGCACGTCTCCATTACACTCTACTGTCTGCTATCATTTCAACCTGGCGCCACGACTGCCCACAAGGTTTCATTTCCACTTCAAATGATCTTCTCCATGTCACCCTCAATTCGGATGACCAACTTGCCATTTCTCATTCGGGTTCCTCTCGAGGGCTTGGTGCGTGATGGCTCCAATCGGCTTTCTCAGCCCATGCTCAGTCCAATCCATCTCCACTTCCTTCCATTGCATATTTGTTGAGTGATAGATTCTTGCTTTGTTGGTTAGTTGCCAGTCAGCCAGACAGCCAGACAGCCAGCCACAGTTCCTTGTTGCTTATTCTCATTATTCTGGACATCTGAACTTCAGTAACGAACCAGCGTAGGCAGTTGTTGATGAATGTCTGCAGTTCGTCGGAAATCCCTTTCGTAATCCGCCACGTCTCTCAACCATACGAAAGCACTGACTGACTTGACTGAATTGGTGTTGAAAATCCGGATGTTGTTCCACATGTTGAGAGCAGATCTCCACACTGATTTCAGGTTAATGAACGCCAGTCTCGCTTTTCCAATACTGGCTTCAACCTCCTCGTCTGTGACTGTGCCACCTGTGGTTAAAACACTTATGCCTAGATAGGTGCACTTGAAGGGGGCTACTTCAGTGAAGTTCCTCCCGTTCATGGTCATTGAAGCTTGTTGTTGTTGTTGTTGTTGTTGGTGGTGGTGGTGGTGTTGTTTGGGTATCTCCATCACCTCTGTCCTCTCTACATTCACTTGAACTGACGTCCTCCTTAGTTGCCCTACCTCTTCTCTCAACTTGTTAGTTTTTGCCTGTAGATCTTCGAGCTTGTGCTACAAGACATTAGAAATGAATCATCATCGTTGGCGAAATCAAAATCTTCTGGAATGTTTTCCCTGGTCCAACCAGCATATACCCTTCTTCTCACCCTCACTGTTTCTTGCATGATCCAGTCCACTACCGAAAACAGGAAGATCATGGTTGATAGTAGATGGTAGCCTTGTTTCACTCATGTCTTCACTTCAATGACATCACCGAGCTGAGCTTTCCACTGTGAATTACTTGGCATGTGGCGTCTTCATACAGTGAAAAATGTCTGGCTGTCTTTATCATTCTCAATAATCTCCACTCTTTGAATTGGATTTATTCATCTCAAGATGTCATTCTTCATATCCTGATATTATTTGGAAAGCGTTTATAAACCTGATAGCACTGCTTAGCTGTTTCACTTTGATACAGGTTACATTAACAGAGATTACCCATATCCCCATCAAAGATGGAATCAAGTAACATTTGATGTTGGGGTATACACACAGTAACACAGTCACAAGGTGGGAATGTAATTCTCCTCACTCTTCCTTACTTTCGTCGATTCCCGATAAAGCGCAAAGTATTAATCAGTCCCATCGGTGAGTATTTGTCCTTCACTTCACAGGTAACGATCTTTCACTAGAGCTGCCACTAATAGGCACTAGACGGAATTTCGCTACAAGAACTGAAGGTCGTGGGTGCGCACTGTCAAGAAGTTGATCAGTGTATTTAATGTAGTCCTGAAAGAAGTCAGTTGTCACCTAGCAATTTCTATGATTTCTCTACCGAGTAGTGTGTGTTCGAATCTCTGAAGAAGCACCAGTTCCATTCAGACTGCAGACACACTTTACTGATGAGTGTCAAACAGTACAAAGCATAGGTCCAACGTATCCTATGAACTGCCTTTTATCAACTAACAGCTATAAAAATGAACTACGATGGTCAGTCTCCAAGCTTGTTTGCCATATTACAAAAATTATCTATAGAATTCAGTCAGGTTTTATTAAATTGTGTACTTTGTAATCTCATAGGAATTAGTTAGGCTTTCTGACTTAGTTTTTATTACAAACGTGTATACACTTATACTTACAATCCCATGAAATAAAAATCCAGACTTAACTCTACTTTATATATAACTTGGATAAGCTGCATAGACTAAACTGGATAGTTAATCTTCATTAGTAGTAGGACGTTCTTCGATTATCATAAAATTAAGTTTTACAAACCATACATAGTACATCTTAAGAAAGAAAACTATACGAGATATTCCTAAGGGGTATGAACCAACAATTTATCTTCGAGTTTGAAGATACATAAAAAGGATGTTATGTCAATGAAAACAACTTTTTCTCGCATTAAAATACTAGGCATTTTACAATATTCATTATAGTGGCTTATCTTCAGGGTAAATAGAACTCCTACTCTATATAATTGGAAAACCAATAGAATTTCAAGTCATTCATTAACCTGAAACAATTTTTTTGACAAAAGTATGAGCTATTTAAAGGCGCTTCAGGTAATAAATGTAAGAAAACTCCTATTGGATGTACAACAATACATAAAATATAAATCATACTTTTAGATAGACATAAAAAATTGACTTAGTTTCAGTGAAACTGTAGAATCAACTTATTTCACATGTAACCTTTACATATACATATACTTATATCATTTATGTGTGCAGGGAGGTGTTTTGATTGTCTATGAGCCACTTATTCTGACCAATAGATTTCGCTAGTCAGAACAGTGCGATCTAATAATAACCGTTGTAGAGAATAATTTTTAAGATTTGAGATATCAATGATCTCATAAACTATGTATAGTAGTGATGGGCAGTGGCTAGCAGTGGGATCTAGGATGCACATTTCGTCGTATTTGGGACTCGTCAACTGAATGTACCTGCTTCCCAGTGAGTGATGTTGTTCCCACCGGGATTCGGACTTCGGAGCGATCGCTTCAAACGCCATAGCGTTATCCACTACACTACAAGCAATAACACTAGATTTCATAAACTGTTAAGGATTACTTTTCGCGCTACTCCTTAGCGCATAACCTTGTCGTTATGATGTTCTCTGCTTTGAACATAAGTGATCACTCAGTTTGCATTACTTTAATTCCCTGTTGTTAATCTAAGCACTTAAAATATATAAAAGTATGCGATCATTGCACTTCGTCTTCCGTTGATTTCTTTCAACTAAGTATTATGCAAAGTTTACTTATTCGTACATAAGAATGTTAGCTGTCTCGACAATCAGTCTAGACGCAACTTTAGACCAAAGTTGTACACTTGTTGTCACTTTCAGAAAGGTGTATATTCGACCTGGAGGAAGTGAGATTTCTTTATGTATTCTACCCTATGTAAATCAAATCTTAAGTCAAAGGAGCTCACAGAAAAACACACAGTTCACAAGACATCGGTTATAAACACCAAAATGTTTTATTCACAGCATATTCCATTCCCATATCCTCCTAGTTAGACATCGGCCATTTTTCATGATACAACAATTACTGATGGTTGTAATTCCCCTTTGATCATTGTGCTCAAGAAAACTAACCGGTCTTTGTTAGGATGTAGGTTCCTTCAATGGATCATCTCATATTAGCTACAGTTTTAATTCATTACTGTATTCTTGGTAGTGGCTAACGGTGAGATTAAAGACCCACATTTCGTCTTATTTCGTCTTCAGTGGTGGCCACCATGATCCCACCTCCTAGTAGACTACGCTTTGACGTTTGAGACTGGTAAATTGGTCCCGATGTTCATGGAAATACCTTCACACCCTAAAAAGAACAAAACATGAGTCCTAGATTATCTTATTACCAACTACTAAGTATAATCCAGCCAAATATAGCTTGAATTTTTAATCAAGTCCTGAATTATATAATATTCTTATACTGTACACTAATTAAGACTGATAGATGAAACTGATGTACGCGGTTTTTCTAATTCATTTCAGCTCTATGGTGTTAGCTATGGACTGACTGCATTTATTGGTCGAAGAATAGATAGCAGTCAGACAACAAAGTAAGTTAGTTTGAACAGTTATTTTAACCAATTCACTAATTCACTGGCACATAGTTTCATAAATTTATATAGGACAAACTTGAATAAAATAATTTGCACTTCAGTGACAATTTTATTCTCTTTGCAGATTCTCATTCGATCGGAAGATGTCTTCCAACCGAAATATGCAGTTTTCTTAAGACATTAACCCTCTTAGTTCCTAATACTGCATTATCCTAAAAACAGTTTGGCTACTTTTAATATCGCAAACTATTTCGCTTATACTTTCATAAAGGAATATCAGATACAAGAGTTCAACCAATTCAGTGAATCTTTGTGTCTATCACTGCCAGCATGTAGCATTTTAGTAAGCACACTCTGTTATCTTCAAGGAGTCGTACAGAATACGTTTGAAGGTATTTGTGCTATGCACCTAGTACACAAGATTGTCAATCACTGAAATGCTCTACCTTGACTTGATTTCCCACAGGTTGTCACTGGGCACTGCTTAGGAATTTGAAAATATGACGTAATAACTACAAAATGCTCTAGGGTTTTCAATGGTTCTCCAACTGATGTCTGCTCATGATCAAAGCTGCTTTGAAGCATATATGTGAAGCTAAATTGGTTTACTTGTTACTGTTGTTTTTAACTTATGGTATTAGTAAGGAAAGTTTATTTCACTACCGCACGGTTTCACCAAGTTATGTGTAGAGCCATAAAATCATATTGTTATCAGTTTGTAGACTTTTTAAGAATCGTTATAAATCTTAACAAAATAAAACGTTTGAACATTTGTGGATCTGACAGTCTATGACATAATACCATCAGCAAATATGAAATAAAAGGAAAAGTAAGCGAAACTATATCACTGGAATCGACTGGTAGACATCAGTTACGGTCTTCAACCAGTGATTTTGGTTATCCTACGAACTGAAAACATCACGACTAAACTTTTACTGGTTAAGAAGGCCGGCAATAAATGATTCCATGCAGCTCTATAACATTATTTGACCATCAATATGGCAATCAAATAAAATTATGGTAAGGATCTGGTTATTGACTAAATACTAAATTCTGCTAAGCTTAAACAAGCCTTGCAAAGATTGCTTAGAAAACATGTATAAACAGAAACATAACTGAAAACTGTCATCTGATAACTTCTGAAAACAAATATTCAGGTATATTTTAGTAGAAGCAACCCCTATACACGTCAAAGACTTTGATGGATTAGACTAAATTCAGAGTGGTAGTCAGTAAATGTTTCAATGTCATGGTGAATATCGTCATCAGGGAATTAGAGTTTCATGAAGAATATTCCTGCAGAGATTAAAGGATGCGCTGGATTCAAAACTACGACCGGAACAGGTTGGCTAGATTCAAGAAGTACAAATCATGTGCGGATCAAATTGCAACGCTATGCAACACATCATCACTGAACACAGTATAGAATGGCAGTCAACTCTCTCTCCACACCTCAACTTCAACAACTTTGAAAAGGCCTTCGACAGCGTCTACTGATAAGTAATTTGGCAGGCAACTGCTCCAACACTACGGAATACCACAAACCTTTATCAATCTCATTCAACAACTACATGAAGACGCCACATGCCAAGTAATTCACAATGGAAAGCTCAGCTAAGTGATGTCATTGAAGTGAAGACAGGAGTGAAACAAGGCTACCATCCACTATCAACCATGATCTTCCTGTTTTCGGTAGTGGACTGGATCATGCAAGAAACAGTGAGGGGTGAGAAGAAGGGTATATGCTGGTTGGACCAGGGAAAACATTCCAGGATATTTGGATTTCTCCAATGACTTTTGTCTAATGTCGCACAAGCTCAAAGATCAACAGGTAAAAACAAACAAGTTAACAGAAGAGATGAGGCAACGAAGAGGGGACTTCTTATGAACGTAGAGAGGATAGAGGTGATGAAGATACCCAACCAACACCACCACCGCTACCACCACCAAAAACAACAAGCTCCAGTAACCATGAACGGGAGGAACTCAAAGGAAGTGGCCTTTTTCACCAAAACCTACCTTGGCAAGGCAGCACCGTTTCAACTACAGACAGCACAGGCCTAGACGAGGATGTCAAAGCAGCCAAGATCGGAAAGACAGCAAGACAGGCGTTCATTAACCTGAAACCAGTGTGGAGATCTTCTGCACTGCACTCAGCATAAAGCGTGAACAACATCCGGATTTTCAACACCAGTTCACTCAAGCCAGTGGTTCTATGTAATGGTTCAGACACTTAGCGCCCTCCGAAAGGGATTTCCGACGAACTTCAGATATTTATCAACAACTGCCTACGCTCACTCGTTACTGAAGATCAGATGGCCGGAATAATAAAAGTAAGCAAAGAGGAACTCTGGTTGGTTGGCTGGCAATAAATCAACGAAGCAAGAATCTATCACTCAACAAATACACAGAAGGAAGTGGAGATGGATTGGATTGGGCATGCACTTAGAATAGTATTGGAGGATACCACTCGCCATTCTAGGTTGTCGAGTGGAACCCAGATGGGAAACGATGAGGTGGGCCTGTGAGCTGAGTATGACATTGAGGAGATGGTGTGAGGAAGAAATGAGAGCTTGTGGACTGTGGTGGAGGCGGGTTTAAAAGATCGCAGAGAGCAGAGTGTAATGGAGACGTGCTACTGAATCCCTATGTTCCACTAGGAACTCAATGGGCAAATAATGATGATAATATATGAGGAATATTTATCAACCGAAAGTGCATTCCCACACGACACTGTCATTCAGAAAGTGTTTAAAATACTATGTTGTCATAAATATCTCACCCCGCTGAAAACAATGTCTAGAATGACAGCGAAACGTTCACCAAAAGAAATTCTAGCTAAAAGGACAACTCACTGCAATTATCCACACTCTGAGACATAAAGGTGTGCTAAAAAGTTAGCTTCTCCCTTTGGCGTAGTTCATGACACTTGTCTTCACCTTCATCATCAGCACTTTTGATGAGACTTGAATGCAAAACAAAATTTCGCTTAGTTATTCAAGGTTAAACTACATCAAACAACAATGATCACAAAGTGTGATTAAACTAAGCAAGAGATTTGTTAAGCTCATAAAATCAATTGAGAGAATAATACCCCATTGTTGATTATGAAATCTCTATCAATTCGTCGATCTGAGGTAGTCATGGTTTGGTAGACTAGTACTGATATTGGGTGATGATTGGAGAAGAGATGGAAATTTTGGCCGCGTCAATATTCTAACTAGCAACTGATGATCTTCCACCACCTGGGCTGTGAAACTGGGCTACTGACCAGATTTTTATTTCACTTCAATCCCTCGACGGTTTTCTACAGTACCGTTTCATTCCATCATTAATCATAACCCAGTATCATCAAAAGTCTTCTAAACCACGGTTATCTCAGATGCTCCTCGTCTCTAACTAATTCAAGCAGAGTTGGATGAGGATGAGAAGCCTTAAAGGGGAATATTTATATGATTTTTATGAAGGAAAATTTTCCTGCTGGAAAATTTAAGCCTATGAATTGCTTGCTGATAGTACTTTTGCACAATATAGAGTGATAGTCTGTAGTAAGATAAATCTAGAAAACAAGTCAGCCTCAATTATGCATGCTGTCAAGTATTTGTACAATAAGATGGGATAGAGCAACGATTTTAAAAGACTACCTGAGTAATTAGAGATGAAGAGGTTGATGACAGGAGGTTTGTTTATTGAATCGCGAAATGAATAACAAAACTATAGAAAATAAAAACCAGAAATTTATACTGTAATCACAAGCAATAAGTCCTACTTTAAACATCACCAAGCAAATCACAACTGTTTCATTATGTGATAGTTACTTAAAAGGAGAACTGAAGTGAAAATATACTCCATTACAGAGCCTAAATTTTATTCTCATTAATTCGTAAAAGCCTCCTACCAAGTGACTAGCAGTTAAAACAACAAGTTTTTTTCCATTATTATTATTTTTCCCTTGGGTTCCTAGTGGAATATAGGACTTCAGCAGCAGGTCTCCATTCCAATCTCTTCTCTGCAGTCTTTTTTAACTGGTTTCATGAACGCCCACAAACTTTCATTTCTTCTTCACGCAATCTCCGCCATGTCACCCTCAGATGGGACGCCGACCTCGTCGTTTCCTATGAGGGTTCCAAAACCGGCTTCTTTGTGTATGCTCGATTCAGTCCATCTTCACTTCCTTCTGTATATTTGTTGACCTATGAGTTCTTGGTTGATTCGTTGCCAGCCAGAATTCCTTGTTGCTTATTCTTATTATTCTGGTCATCTGGTATCCATCATCGGTATCGAGTGAGCATAGGCGGCAGCTGTTGATATATGTCTACAGTTTGTTGAAAATGCTTTTCGTAACGCGCAAATTATCTGAACCATCATATAGAAGCACTGATTTGATCGAATTAGTGCTGAAAATCCGGATATTGTTCACGGTTTATGCTGAGTGCAGTGGAATGCAGTGCAGTCTATCTGCACACTGATTTCACAATAAAGAATGCCTGTCTTGCTGTCTTTCCAATCCTGCTTTTGACATCCTCATCTATCCCACCTGTGGTGAAACGATGCTGCCTATTTAAGTGAAACAGACTACTTCCTTAAGGTTTCTCCCGTTCATGGTGATCGGTGCTTGTTGGTATTGGTTAGGTATCTTTAACACCTTTGTCTTTTCTACATTCACTTGAAGTCACGTTTTCGCTGCCTCTTCTGTCAACTTGTTGGTTTTTGCCTGTAAATCTTCGAGTTTGTGCGACAACACATAAGACATAGACCACCATCGGCGAAAACCATAGCATAACATAAAAAATGAGAATGATGTGAAAGATGGCTGCATGCTGGATGTCAGCAAAAGATGCATTGTACAGTGTTGAAAACCATAATAAAAATTCATAGAATTTACATTATTCAAGGTAGCTGAATAATTACTGTTAAAACTGTGATAAGATTGCTTGTTTATAATGTTTATGCCTTCATATTCTTCGCATACGTCTTTCAGTTCAACCGTTACCATCATTTTGAGAAAGTATTTCGCTGGTCCCAAAGCGATTCATCGTCCCATCTATCCAGTTGCTGGATCTATCAGGAAAACTATCAATTTCGCGTGTCATTCCGGAGAATTGTGTATTGCAGCTTCTATTGAAAAACCGGTAACCTGACAGTATATATCTATTTGTTGGTGTTTACTTCCTTGGATTTTTATTCACTAAACGTTTGTCAGTAAAGTTATATTTTGTTGTAAATCCTTGATTTAAAGTTTGTTTCCTTCAACGCCTGACTTCAGTTGGAACTCTGTCGAGAATGCGAGGGTACTGAATGGTTGTTTTATCATACATTGTGACTGTTCAACCAGCGCTTATCCAGAACTCCGTCACTAAGCTGAGTATTGTACCAACGATCTCGTGACCGACTCATTATAAGGTTGTTTTTGCACACCACCGAGGATTCATACACTATAACGAAGCACTTTTCTGGTACTGCAACATATTCAGTGGTTCTCTTGCTGTTATCAGTCAGTCCTAGAATCTACTTTGCAAGTTTTTTGCATTTTTGACTGACATACAGATTCTAGTCGCTTCAGTTGTCAATGTAACTGTCTCAAATAGCCGGGACTGAAAGTGAAGTGAAAGTCTGGCTCATGACGGCATTCCAACCAAAAGCCTCTGGGTCACTCCCTCTTTGCTGTACAAAATGAGCTATGACAGTTAGTAACTAATCACAAAGTTTTTTTGGCTGACTTCCATATGAATTCGTGATGCATCTGTACGACTATTGTATTCATCACTACCTGCCCAGCGTGGTGCACGTATCCCAATTCAAATTGAAGAGAACTAGACAAAAAGAGAGTCATATTGATTATCAGTGTGATTTGAGACAATCATGATTTGGAAGGCTAAAATTTGATGTTGATTACCAAGTAAATGAAAGACATGCTTCACCATCCGACAAAGAGTACTTGCATATTTCAAACGCAATCTTGTACTAGTCACTCGTTTGGTCATTACCTTTCGATGTGTTGGAAATCAGTATTACCTTTCAAAAGTAAGCAAATGAATTGTAATTTTTCATCTTTAATGTATGCGTATTAAATTCATGTTCAGTGTGCATTTAAATAAGTTTAAAAATCATGATATGGTTTTTGTCAACCAAAAACACTTTATCAAGATCCTCATTTCAATCCCTACCAAAGAATAGTTTAGATATGATGAAGTCATCGACAGAGATCAACAAACGCATCGTCCTACCATACATAAAGAATATATCAGAAATCACAACAAGATTACTCAGACAAACCACGTGGAATTGGTTTGGCCACTCATAAACCAACCAATTCCCTCCAAACACTTTCATGCAGACCAAAGGATGCAACAAGCAAAGAAGACAGACAAACTGAATATCATTTACAAAATCAACTGCAATAACTGTAGTCAACACTACACATTCGACAAAGTGGTCGCCCACCTTGGCCTTCGTCTGCATGAACACCAATTGGCTATTAAACATCACACACGACATTTCATCACTCATTTCAATGCACGTGGATAACTATGGAGATGAATTCAATTTGGACAATGTAGAAATTTTGGACGAAGGGAGGGAACACAAAGAATATCATAGAATTCCTAGAAGCTTTGCATTCAGGTCAGTCAGTCAGCAATCAACAGATGTTTACACATAGACCCGACCTATTAACCAATAAGAAAAATGATGAACGATAGAAAGGTGAGAGATGAAGCAGAGGAACAGCCGACAGGAAAGTCTATACAATCAATGAATGACACAACAATAGAAGGAAACAACCATTAACAGACCACATCGTCAGAGCAAGCCACTAAATCACTGATGGAGAGATATTGACAGCTCACTTCATACTGAAGTCAATGCTGACGATGTCGTGCAGAAGGATGATGAAAGCTTCCCGGTTAAACAACCCAGCTCAGAGAACACAATACAACCAAGCTGGAAATTTAAACCACTGGATTCTAATCCAGTGGCTCAATGGTAACCTGCTAGCCAAGGAATATGAAGGTCGCGGGTTCGATCCCTGGAGGGCAGGGTCATGGGTGCGCTTTGCCAACGTGTCCGATTCTAGGATGAGATAGCTGTCCAGTGCTCTCAAGTTTCCAATGTTACTTCACCTGATGTCAGTTCATAATAAATATCAACTTGAAATCAATCACTAGATCCGGATAAACCCCTAAATCAAATTCTATAATAGTTCATATAATCTCCAGTTATTATAATACCCTTTAGCAATATGTAATTTCGGATAAAAAAACCTCCTTGTACCTAATATGAAATAATAATGACAATTGCCTCAGGCTTATATTAAACTCATATGTAATATGGTTCTCCGGAATAATTCAAATTACCAACATAAGAGATAGATTTCAGACAAGAATATTACTTCAGAAGATATTCAGTTGAACTATTTTCCTTTGAGAAACTGACGTTACCATAAACTTTGAAATAAAAGTACTTCACATTATATATATACATAGGACTACAATATGATATGACATAGGCCTTTGTGATAACATAGGCAATGGAAGTAAAAGCATAAACTGTTCAACAGTAAGTAAACATTTTTTTACAAGAAAGAACATTTGAAAAATGTCTGTTCAATAATTAATTGTATGGTTGAATGGAAATGGCTTAGATAATGAAATAGTTTACTGGAATTCATCCACAAACAACTATTCAAAAAATCAGATTGACTGATTATTTCAGAATGATTTGTTGGTATACTCTCTAATTGTCAAGGTGAGTGAATCAGCTCAATTCATTCGTAAAACACATTTATTCTGGGATCTTTAATGCTTCTATTAAGCAAAATCTTTGGTTTGTAAGTACTATATGCTAAAAGGTTTCATATATAACCCTTAAAATCAACGTCAGTGAAAATAATCCAGTTTTGTGATGAGTTCACTAACTTTAAACTAGTCCATACATTAGAGACTAGTTCTAAGGAAATTGGTCATTTATCGATGTTCAAACATTTCAATCCTTATCTATCTTTTCCACATATTTCCAATGTCTTTTCTACGACAAATGTAATATTAAACGGTCCTAAATGTTATTCAACCTCTCCTGGTTAACTAGTTCACTAGTTACCAGCCGATCCTATGCCAGGATAAAGAGGAAAGGTTGGGCAGAGGGCTGGCAACCCTACTCCTTAAACCCATCAAACCGCTAAGGAAACTTTAAAGCACAAACAAATATAAAAAACAAAAACAAAATTATTCCTCACTGGAATCGGAGAGGTTAAATGACGCCCGGTTGGTTAAGGCCTTCGGGAATCCAATTGGCCGATGTGTCTTCTTTCGATAAAAGCGAAAGTAAACATGGGGACATGGAATGTCCGCACCATGTTTGAACCCAGCAAGGCAGCCCAGATTACAAAGGAGATGAGAAGTTATCGCACTGAAATGCTTGGAATCTGTGAAATTAGATAGAATGGAAGTGGACTCTCCAAACTGTCAACTGAAGAATCAATAATCTACTCCGATATTGTCACCCAGACGGCAGTCATGAGCACACTCAGGAAGTGGCTATCATGATGTCCCCAAGAGCATCGGAGGCTCTCATGCAGTAGGAATTAATCTCCTCCAAGATCGTGACAACAAGGTTCAACTCAAAAGGAAGGAAGGTCACAATCATACAGTGCTATGCACCTACAAATAATGCGGATGAAGAGAAGGAGGAGGAATTCTACAGACAACTTCAATCAACACTGGACAAGACCTCAGTTGGCGACATCAAAATTCTAATGGGCGACATGAATGCCAAACTGGGAGCGGTCAACACAGGAAGAGAACTAACCATGGGTCGAGAAGCGCTCGGTGAGGTGATGAACGAGAATGGAGAATTGTTTGCAGAATTCTGTGCATTCAACGATTTGGTGACTGGAAACACTGTGTTCAGGCACAAAGATATCCACAAAGCGAGTGACATGGATTTTCCCAGATGGTAGCATTCATCATAGACTGTTATCAGTTAGGAAACATTGGAAACCTGGGAGCACTAGATAGCCGTTTTCTCCTAGTACGCACCGACGACCTGGCTAGCGATCGAACTCAGAACCTTCAGGTTTCATGACGAAAGCGTGGAACCGAGTCGTGGGCACTTACTGCTTAGGAGCTCCTATCAGGACAGAGTAGCTCTCCAGTACTTACAGGTTTTCAGTGGTTCTCCAAATGAATATATTTCTTTTTATCCTTAGACTAGTTAGTTATTGATAAAATTTGCTATCTAATTTAATCTACGTGTCGTATTAATAGTTGCGTTAGCAATAGGAAGGATTTCATTCTAAGAGATTGGATTGATTGGTCAATGGAAAGCAACCAACTGCATGTTGTCTAGTCTTCACTGCTGACTGAATTCTGCTGATCATTCCGCAATCTGGCTACCAAGCTAGGAGGTTCACCATCGCGGTGCAAAGCGCCTTGATAACGAGTGCCAACAAGCTCAAAACCTATATCCAAGACTTCTTGTTAATTGTGTGTAGCAAAACAATGAAAACCTATCATTATTATTTCACTGGTAATTAACACATCATGAAGATCATTACACTGTAGAGCTAAACATGTGGTGGTATGTGAATGACACACTTACTGTGTTGAAATCGGAATATATCGACAATTTCCTCACACATAACATAAACTCAGTAGTAGACGCAATCCAACTCACTTACGAGAAGGTAGAAAATGAACAAGGAGAATAACCCATGTTGGATTGCAGAATAAAACGAAGCACAGATGGTGGCTTGGATACTACTGTCTACAGAAAACCAAGACATTTCAACAGGTATCCAGACTTCAAATCATCCCATCCAATGTCAGTCAGTAAAGGCGGCTTTAATTAAATATCTAAATGATAGAGCTAGAAAACTGACTAGTCAGAGCAAGAACCTAAACAAGGAATTGAAACACGCAAAAGAAGCTCTAGTAGTTAATAATTATCCTGCACAGTTGATTAAGAAATCTTTACGGACACACACGAGAAACGAAAAAGTAACAGTCACACGGATTCGACTAATAACGACAACACGAGTGAAAAAGAGTTGACAGCTTCCATTGTATTACTCTACAAGGAGGGTACCTCAGAAACTTCATGTAGAATCCTCAACAGAGCTGGAATTAGGGTGACATTTAAACCTACAAACTCACTCAGAGATAAACTTTGTCGGTTAGTTTGAGGATCCGACAGAACCAATTGAGGAAAATAATATAATCTGTCAAATTCCATGTAATGACTGCGAGGTCAAGAATATCGGTCAAACTAGCCCAGTTGGTCGGGATCAGTTAGCATAGCGGAACATAGGAATTTATCTAAATATAGAATGACAGACCTAAATAAGATCAACAATGTAGGAAAACACTCTGTTATTGCAATGCATGCATTAACACAGAATCATACAATAGGGTTGTTGGGATAAAGCCACTGTACTTAAGTCGAATATAATTAGGTGGAGACAGAGAGAGATTGATTACTGAATCTTTGTTCATCGAATCAACAGCACCCAACACATATGGAATAGAAATGATGCAACACCTACAGCAGAGATATGGAAGGTTTTACTACCATTAAGTGGAAATCATTCCGCCGATGACTCGTGTCTGGTATCGTACAAACTTGAAGATCTACAGGTGAAAACTAACAAGTTGATAGAAGAGGCAGAGAAGACAAGACTTCAAGCGAGTGCAGAGAAGACAGAGGTGATGAAGATACCCAACCAACAACAACAGCAACAACAAGCTTCACTCATCATCAACAGGAAAAACTTAAAGGAAGTAGCCTCCTTCACCTACACGAATCTAGGCGTAACTGTTTCAACTACAGGTGGCGCGGACGAGGTTGTCAAAGTCAGGATCAGAAAGACAGCAAGACAAGCCTTCATTAACCTACAATCAGTGTGGAGATCTGATACATTCAGCATGTGAAACAAGATGCGGATTTTCAACACCAATGTCAGTCAATTCAGTCAGTGCTTCTATGTGATGGTTGAGAGACTTGGCGTGTTACGAGAGGCATTTCCAACAACTTACAGACATTCATCAACAACTGCCTATGCTCACTGGTTACTGAAGATCAGATGTCCAGAATAATAAGAATAAGCAACAAGTAATTCTGGCAACGAACCATCGAAGCGAGAGGCTATCGCTCAACAAATATGCACTGGAAGAAAGTGGAGATGGATTGGGCATGCACTGAGAAAACTATTAGAAGACATCACGCGCCAGATTAGGTCGTCAAGTGGAACCCAGATGGGAAACGAGTATTTGGGCTTCGGAGGCGAAGTTGACATTGAGGAGATCGTGTGAGGAAGAAATGAGAGCTTATGGCCTGTCGTGGAGCCAGGTTGAAAAGATCGCAGAGAGCAGAGTGTAATGGAGACGTGCAACTGAAGCGGTATGTTCCATTAGGAACTCAGGGGACAAATAATAATAACAGTAATAAAGTGCAAATCATATGAGGTGACATGACTATAAAAATCACACGTCGAAAGTAGTGTGATTACATTGATATGATGATGAGTAATGATAATTTATGCTGGAAACGTCATTGAGTAAATTAATACTAGATCACTACTGTGTGTTATAAATCAAATAAACAAATCTAATATGGAATTAAATTGTGCCACAGTGCCCAAGTTTTACACCTATAATTTTTCATTTTTGTCCAATAATGTATACGGTGAAAACGGGTCTTACAATATAGGGGAAAGAAGTCAAAAACATACCATTTTATATCTCTAAAATATAAAATGCATTTTTCATCAAATCTTTAACACTGGTACTTGATTTTCATTCGAAGCCTCAAAATTAAAATCCATAAGTAATAAGCTATAGCGGGAAGTGATGAAGCAAACTTACATTATGATGATATACCTTGTAAATTTTGGTTGTTGACTGAATAGGATTCATCTGACTCTACTGATGTGTCGTAACTGCGTTGATGCGTCTATATTGACGATATTTTGAGATTGATAATGATGATGGACAGTGGCTACCAATGGAATCTAGGACGTTCTATTTGCTACTCCATAGCTGGAGATACCTACCTGTTGGTGAGTATTATCATTCCTACTAAGACTGAAAAGCAGGACTAATCACTTCAAACTCCAGAATGTCATTCACCAAACTAGTGAGTCACAATAATGTCAAACTTATAGTATACCCGTCGCACATGGTGTAGCTATCGTGACTCAATGGCCTAGTAGAGAACATTCTATATGTTGAAGCGACTCTACCTACTTTCTAGTCATAATAGTCGTAGACACACCCCTGAAACTGACAAGTCCAAGCAGGCGTCCTGCATCCCACTGCTAGCCACTGTCCATCATTAGTACTCACTTTATATTAGCTGAATCATATTCACCTAAGTAATTTAATTGGAGATTAGTTTGAGTCAAGTAAATAGATTGTTAGTTTCCACTTTCATCCTATTGTTGAACAGTTCACTGTACATTCTATAGATTTGATTATCAGTTTCATCAGCTGTTTACCTGTGTAGTGTTTAATACCCATATTTTTTTAAAATTTCTTAGCTATATTTTCATGATGAACCTCTTTGCATATCAATTGTATTGGATAATTTATGCAATTTGCCAGTTAGGAAACTACAGATAGCAAGTAAGTACCAAACTTTTATATCACATACAACACTTTATTCATACATATGTATCATGATAGGATTTATCATAGACCAAGGTTAGTTATCGTATCATTAACAACCTGAGAGTACTGAACAGCTGTTTTGTCCTAGCACAGGACTCCTCGGCAGTATGTAGCTGCTCCGTCACCAGGGATCAAACTTAGACCTTCAGGTCTCATGGTGAGCATGTTGCCACTTAAGCATAGATTCAGAGTTCAACGACACACAGTCTTGTACTTCGACCACTTTGCGAGCTAACTATATATATATATATATATATATATATATATATATATATATATATATATATATATATGGGCCTGGTAATTCTGTTAAGATTATCATCCAACTTCAAGCACTGAAGTGTTATCTAAGGCAACGTTAGACCTACATAAAACTTCCCTTCTTGACAAAATCTTGTCCATTTCTCAAACAGTTTGACTAAGCGAATAATGAAGGTGTAGTATATCTCTTCTCTTCTGATTAAAATGTAGTCCGCGTTATTTGGATGGAGGAAATCTGCAGGAAGTCTTGTTGGACATAGACTTCATGCTTCTAGCACATCTCGGTGAGGCGAATCTGTAACTTGGATGGAACTGATGTCCTGCCTGAGATATGAACCCTCATCACCTAGTGCTATATTCATAGGTGCTACAACGGATCTATTCAAACTGTGATTCATCACCTGTAGGGTTGGATCAAGTATATCAGTTAGTCACCAAAGGGTAATCAACTTCATGTTGTCTTGTCTTAAGTACTGATAAAATTCTACCAATCATTTTCCAGACTTCATTTGAAAAGAAACTGATGATCTGTTTAGTTTCAAGTTGTTATTCATCGTAGACTGACTTGAGTTAGATGAACAAAGGAAACCTGGGAGCATAGAACAGCTCTGTCATCTGACTAGCATGGGACTCCTCAGCAGTGCGCACACAGACCCCTCCAGGGATCGAACCTGTGACCCACAGGTTCCGCGTCCAACGCGTTATCATTGAGCCACTGGGTCAGAATTCAATGGTTCATATTTCCAACTTCTGTTAGCTCACGATATAGCGTAATCGCCACCTAATGTTATCGTTGAGTAACTGCCCTCACGACCATCAGGCTTTGACTCCACTGGTCATGAGCTAACAGAAGTTGGAAATATGGACCATTGAATTCTGACTCGGTGGCTCAATGATAACACGTTGGCCACGGAACCTGAGGGTCACAGGTTCGATCCCTGGAGGGGTCTTGTGTGCGCACTGCTGAGGAGTCCCATGCTAGTCAGATGACAGAGCTGTTCAATGCTCCCAGGTTTCCTTTTTGCTCCTCTAACTCATGTCAGTCTACGATGAATAACAACTTGAAATATTTCCAAGTCTCCGCAACTCCCTCAAAATACATTTAATTGTTTTTTTTGTGACTATTATTCAGTTGTTCAAACAGCTGAAATGTACTTACTAACCAAAGGAACTTTACATTCAACAGTAGATGAACACTTCTGCAAGTAAGCATAATTTCTTAGAAAAAATTTTTGTACATTTGATGTTGCTTTAATGTTTTGTTTTACTAAGCTGAATATTCTATGAGCTATATCCTTTAGCATAAAATGTTCTCTTCTCAATAAAAAGGTTGCTTTCAGTAAATTTTATGAAACTGACTTATTTAAGTTACAAGTAGGTGTATAGTTGCCTTAGTCCTTTTTTCCTGATGTATCTGTTAATGGATATCTAAGTTACTTATCCTTCAACATTCTACAATGCCTGAATTATCTCATATTCTCCATTCAGGTTACATATGAATTGAAACATTTAAAGTTATCAGATTTCTGTGGTCACTCTCCACAACTCCCTCAAAATTTAATTGAACTGGTGCTCATTGGTGACTAGTTTCGAGAAGTATTCCCCAAGTTCCAATAAGAAGTCGTGACTGGTGGAGTCAAAGCCTGATGGTCATGAGGACAGATACTCAACGATGACATTGAGTGGCGGTTGCGCTATATATCGTGAGCTAACAGAAGTTGGAAATATGGAGCATTGGATTGTGACCCAGTGGCTCAATGATAACGCGTTGGACGCGGAACCTGTGGGTCGCAGGTTCGATCCCTGGAGGGGTCTTGTGTGCGCACTGCTGAGGAGTCCCATGCTAGTCAGATGACAGAACTGTTCATATAAATTATTCTTTAGGAAATTATTTTAGTTGAGTAGAATTGGTAAATTCTATGTTGGAATGATAAAAAGCAACTGAATATTTTTAGTATACGTAGAATTTCCACTTATACCGGTGTAAGGGAACCGGCAGGTGGTTGACTTGTTAACGTACTTCATGTGTCTGTAATTAAAAGTAAACAACAACAATACTTACTGATAATTTGGTTGGTTATGGCTAGCAGAAGAATCCAGAATGAGCGTTTCGTCCTATTTGAGACTAGAGGCATCCGCATAGAAGCCCACATGCCAATAGAGATCAGACAATTCAATCCAATACAACAACGGAGAATAACAAGTATGCCAATAAATAGTAATAACAGTACTTACTATTTCACTAATCTTCTAATTTCGAGTTTATTTGATATAGTTTAATAATTCCCATTGTAACATGAAGAACAAGATATTCACCGAAGAGACTCTTTTCAATGAATTTATTCCCATTGAAACTTCAGCAATATCTTTCGAAGCTAGTCACCAACGAGCACCAGTTCAATTGAATTTTGAAGGAGTTATGGGTATCTGGAAATATTTCAAGTTGTTCAGTTGGAGGAAGAAAGGAAACCTGGGAGCACTGGACAGCTGTTTCGTCCTAGTACGGGACTCCTCAGCAGTGCGCTGTACATTCACTATATGATAATGATGACATAGGTATTTGTGATTATGATAACAGCTAAAGCATGAATGATAACAAAGTAGATTACATAACATATGGAATGATTCCTATAAGGTGTGTAACTCAGGAAGGAGTGAAAAAATTGATGAAAGTATTGTGCAATAAGATTAGACAAGTTGGTCAAAATGAAATCAATGTTTCCTAAGAAGATTAAGGTATATCTAGTAATGATGGGCAGTGGCTAGCAGCGGAATCCAGGATGCACATTTCATCCTATTTGGGACTCGTCAGCTGAATGTACCTGCTTCCCAGTGAGTGATGTTGTTCCCACCGGGACTCGGACTCGGGAGCGAGCGCTTCAAACGCCAGGAGGATGAGAAGCTCATGAGGGTGGGAAAATGAGCATGGTAAAAACAGTGACCGTACATACGTCTTTTATACAAAGACAGAGAGAAAGTAAAACTTCGTCACTGCATTAGAATGTTATTCCAAACGAAATGTAATCACATTCTGTCACACTAGCCAAGTTTTACAATTATATTTTTTAGATATATGGTCTTCGTACGCAAAGACTAATCAATAAATTCATGCAACCTCCTCAAATCATTCTATGTTCAGTATTCAATACCGACTACAACACATAAAGTGAAGGCAGTAGTATAAGTAAAGTATGTCTCAGAAAATAAATCTGTAGAATATTTAGGAAATTGCAGTGTATCTATTTATCGTATTGAGGGAATAAAGTGTCCTCTGATGCGAATAGTTTGTCAAAAAAGATTTTGAACCCCTTATCCTCATCTTCAGTAAAGAGATATAAAAAACCCACTTGATCATAGGAAAAGACAGACGAGAAATGAAGCAAAGGAAAATGTCTCTTTTCGAGGAAATCATTCCCTTAGTCATGATAATATAGTAGAAACGATGGAACATTCAAGAGTACTTACCGATCAAAGGTCATTATAAATAGCATGAAAGAGGAAAGTTACATAATGTCTTTAAGCGTCAAAAATGGGGAGGTAAACAAAATGATTACAAACTAATAAATGGTTATGCCATATGAGAATTGTCTGAAGTGACGGATCCTTCACGATGGCAATGACAAAAAAAAGGTTTTACAAACTTCGTTTTAACATAATGACGGTTTAGACTTATAAGTCGCTAATATTACATCTATGCCCCGATATCTTAGCCTAACCCACTCACCCATTTACTCACTTAGTCACTCACTCGAAAGAAGTAAAGTTGAGATATCTCTGCACAGCTGAAGCATTAGTGATTTAAAAGTTTAAACCGTCGTTATACGTCAAAAGGAAGTATGTACAATCTCTTTCTTTGCCATAGTCATTGCAGAAGGTCAATCACCTCAAATAATTTCGATATGAGATAACCATTTTTTATTTTAAATTCGGAAATTAGTCTGAAGTGTTTTATCCTTCTTAATATGTGTTCATGACTGTACAGCTAAGAGAAAGATTTTGTCGAATAGCGATGTCAGTTGTCTCTTGGAAATCCAAGAATTTTCAAAAACATTTCAATGCATTAATAGGAAAGGGTATTCAGTCAAAAGTACTGAAGTTGCCAACTGTATGCTGCTGGTCATCAATCAGATAAAGTGGACCGTTAATCAGTTAACTGGAGCTGTAAGCCGAACAAAGATAAATATGCTGAAATGTGAATTCTACTTCAATGTAGCAGTTAGAGAATTGAAACCTGAAAATTTCGCAAGACATTGTACTGTTTCATTGCGTGATGGACCTAGTTAATCGACTAGGAATGAGATTTGAATCGCATACTTCTAGAACTTTCCAAAAATTAATTTTATTTCTTATTCTGCCTGCTCCTTAACTTCTTCTTTAGCTGAGTACTTATCGGTTGAGATAAATAATTATACAATTCGATTACTTGGTTTACTATTTCTCTTGGATTTAAACCTGATTTTGGCTTGAACCGTTTACACATGAAGTAAATTGTATCAGTACTGCGAGAGAGAGGGAGAAGTATCCCAAAAACTTTGCTCATGCATTGGAAATTGATGATATTGGAAACTATTTTCTGTATGAATCCATAGTCTCTTTAGAAACAGAACAAACTTTATGGAGATCACTGGCTCGGTTGTGTCAAGCAGTGAAATTTAGGATACGTGTTTCGTCAGCTGGATTTGCCTGCACCTCAATGTAGTAATTGATATTGTTCCAACTGAGACTTGAACTCCGTACCCATCGCTTCAAACACCAAAGAGTTTTCCAGCACCTTTAATCTAACGGGTATTAGTTATTATTGTTTATTGATACTGACTTGAATTGATCAACTTCTGCTGGCATATGAGTTCCTATAAGAAGATGAATTACATGGATGACGTTTCGGCCTTTGAAACGACGGGTACAAGCATCAAGTCTCGGCGGAAAGAACATCCGACAGTAGAAAACAGGTACGCCTAATCGACGAATCCTAAGTAGGACGAAACATGTATCCCGGATTCCACTGCTAACAATAAATATTCAGACAATATTGAAATATCCACATAGGAGCCCATATACGAACAACCGTCGATCAATTTGATCCGACGTAACAACGGGTAACAACACGTATCACCGAAAAGTATTTACGGAGATATTTTATACTACTCAAAATATGGATAAGTAGACAGCTTTTCTATTATTCAGGAATTTCATGAAACGTTGCCGCTTTTTACATCTTCGAACTAGAAAAATCAAGCCGGATGCTAATACAACAAACAACATGTATATAATCCAGAAGAAAACGAACATTTTACTTCCTTCTAAGTATCATTTACTTATTTTTTAAGCTACGAAACATGCCCATTGAGTCATAAAGAAGAGATAATTCAGCGGAGAAAATTTCCTTTTTCGACGATATCATTTTCTATAGCTGTACAATCGTATTTATATATATATCACAAACATATAACAGTCTATTATAAAACAATAGAGTATAATTTCATCATTAACCTAGTGCCAAAAAACCGGAATCGAGAATGCAAAGTAGTTGCGTAATAATCTAAGACAGTAGAAATATCAACGATGGCAAGGAGTTTGACAAGATGAAAATTGTTGTTAGTTAAGAAACGCAAATATTGAGTGTCCACTTGCTAGATAGATAGATGTAAAGAAGGTGAAGAATGAGACAAGGGTCATAATGAAGGTGATAATAATAAACCAGTTTTTTATTATTATTAGTCCCATTGGGTTCCTAATGGAACATAGGGCTTCATTAGCACGTCTCCAGTGAACTCTTTTCCCTGAAATCTTTTGAACCTGACTCCACGACAGCCCACAAGCTCTTATTTCCTCCTCGCACGATCTCCTCCATGTTCGCTTCACCTTGGACGTAAAACTTGTCGCTTCCCATGGGGATTCCACTCGAGCAACTGGCCTGACGCATGATGTCCCCAGTCGGTCTTCTCAGTGCATGCCGATTCAATCCATCTCCACTTCCTTCTCCTGTATATTTGTTCAGCGATAGGTTGTTGGTTGGTTCGTTCTCAGAGCTCCTTGTTGCTTATTCTCATTATTCTGACAATCCATCTGATGTTCAGTAGCGAGCCAGCGTAGGCAGTTGTTGATGAATGTGTGTAGTTTGTTGGAAATGCCTTTCGTAACGCGCCAAGTCTCTGAGCCATCACATGGAAGCATTGATTTGACGTTGGTGATGAAAATGCGGATCTTGTTCCACATGCTGTGTGCAGTGCAGAAGATCTCCACAGTGGTTTCAGGCTAATGAACGTCTGTCTTGCTTTACCGATTCTGACTTTGACATCTTCGTCTGTGCCACCGCTGCCTGTAGTTGAAACAGTGCTGCCTAGATATGTGAAGGAGGTTACTTCCTTTGAGCTTCTCCCGTTGATGGTGATTGAAGTTTGTTGTTGTTGTTGGTGCGGTATCTTCATCACCTCTGTCTTCTTGGTATTCACTTGAAGTCCCGTCTTCGCTGCCTCTTCTATCAACTTGTTAGTTTCCACCTGTAGATCTTCAAGTTTATGTGACATCAGACACAAGTTTTCATCGGCGAAATCCAGGTCTTCTATGTTCTAATGAACCAGTTAATTATAATGAAATCGAAAAAATGAAAGTGTTAAGACCATGGTAAGATGAGAGATTGAACATACTTCTTTTGCACTCAGAGATCAGGCCTGAATTGATAAACTGTCAGTGCCTCCGCTGTGCACAACTGTCGAAGGCGTACTCTTTTTAAACTATTCCATCTGACATAATAAATGACACTGAATGAGGATTCTGGTCGAGCTGCTGGTGTCCAGAGTTGACCAAATGTTCAAGAATTGAACTGTCAGCTGATTTACATTCTCCCCTCGACAACCATGCAGGATAGTGCTCCGAGATACGTTTGGAAAGCGTACGCTTTGTGTGGCCTATATATATGTTTATGATGTATATAAATATGATTGTACAGTTTTAGAAAATGATATCGCCAAAAAGATTTTCTTCTCTGAATTATCTCTTCTCTATTTTTCAAGCTTCATTTCATATCATTTCTCAAATTATATTTATCTCTAAGGGAAAAGCTTCCTCATGCTGGCCAACAAGAATGGAAGTACACAACAACATTAAGCACAAGTTTAACAGATAAAATATTAAAACATGGTGTTGCGCTTGAAGGTTACATAAAACAAGCACGCAATTGGTTGGCATCGTCAACAATACTAAGGTTATCTGCAGATTTAGATGAATGCTTAGAAATCATGCAAAACGTTAACAAAAAAACCGAAGAGTAAGTTCAAGGTTACTTTTGAATATCTAATCCATTTTAAGTGACTAGAGGTTTGATTTTATATCATTAAAAGAACTTCTGTAATCCATGCATCATAATGATATGATGACATTCGGTCTGTATCAGTGTCAAAAAAGCGACTTTATCCGACAATAATTTATCGGTGCATGATAATTGATCCTTCACTGTTGACGTTAGATTTCGTTAGAAGATAAACCTACATATTCAGAATTGACATATAATATGATATTCCAACAGTTATTTTCGCTGTTTCAGCGCAAAAGAGTTGTGGAGCCGAAAACCATTTAATGAAGGCATTGTTTTTCACTCTGAGGCACAATGACACCAGGCGGTGTTGTTACGTAATTATTTAAAATCACCTCTGATTATTCATTTGAATTATTTAAAAAAGAAAATATACGGTGTTGAGGTCAGGGAAGAGCGTTTACATCGCAACTTAGTTCAATACCTGTAAACCGAATATGATGAGAATGAAGTGAGTGAAGTAAAACGATACTGGTAATAAATACTTGACTTTCCTTACGGATTGGTGACAGTTGGGTAACCAATGGAGTAGTCAAATGTTGAGTTCTGTAAAAAAAAAAAAACCAGAGTCTGTTGATCACGTTTTGAAATGCAACTGAATAGAGAAGTGATGAGATACTGTGGCTCACCTGGAAACTTTTCCACTACGTTTAGTATTTGTTGGCTCTCATCGACTGGAGATGCTCGCAACCATAAATAAAACATGTTTTTTTGGCAACTAGAACCTGTCTCACTGAACGATAAAGTCAGAGACTCTACTCCGTCCAACAAGTGGTCAGTCGTAGTATGAATAATCTGATTGTTAAGTTTCTGACTTCATCTCTAAGTGATACAGGTTGGAATCACTGACAGAACACCAACTTTCTTACTGCAACAAGCATGAAACCTAAGTTAAGCAGAGTTTCCTGTAAATTCAATCCCACTACCTAACACTAACATGTGGTGCACAGAAGTGCTATATCATTTTAGTGAGTGGTGCTCTATATTCAAATAATTGTGCAACCTCTTAAGCAAAAAACAATGGAAGGTAATGAGATAAACTTCCTGATAAACTAGCTACTTGGAAAATCGAAATTGTCATTCACGTAATATTCAGTTTGACTGAAGAACCATTTAAAACCTCAAATCTATTCAATAGAAGGAATTATATGCGTGTATTGATAATGTTTGTAACGATGTTACTTCATCTGTCACCTTACATTTTAGCTCTTCAGAAATGGCAATCAAAGCTAATAAGGAATTACACGGGATTGTAATCTCATACTGTGTTCGTGTTAGATGTTGGATCGGTATTAGGTAAGATAAATTCTCTGTTAATCTTTTTGATATGTTATTCTCCTTTTTGCCTTCAAAGTGTATTTCATGAGAAGTCAACTACACTTATGTATTCGTAGAAAAGTATAGAAAGTATTACAAATCATTTTTGTAGAGAAAATTATCAACAAATGTTTCGTCTTCAGTGATAACGTGTTGGTCAGGTAACCTGGACATCTTGGACTCGAGCTCTGGTGGGGTCATAGTTATGCATTGATGAATAATCTCTAAACTAGGTAGAAACAGCCGTCCAGTGCTCCCAGATTCCCTATGTTCCTTTGATTCATGTCAGTTCATGATGAATACCAACTTGAAATCAATAAATCCCAACAAATCCCTCAAATTTATTGTCGTACACTGTTAGTCACTTGATAACATATACTTTAAGAAATCTTCAGCAAAATAAGCTGAAGAATGTCTAGATAAAAAACAAGCAAAAAACATGCCAAAGTTTACAAAGTTATTGGCAGCATCAGTTCTTGTGTTATATACTATTCCAAGCACATAACGAATCACCATACTCAGGGTAGTTAAAACTTGTGAAGCAGTGAACATAGAGATTTATTGTAACCATAGTAGTTTATACCTTTTAGTATTGCCACATACTTGAAACACTAAAGAGTAGACCCACCAGAGAGATGTACTGTACAAGGAATCAGTCCTAAACCCATTTGTAATACTTTAAGACGACAGAAACGCAATTTAGTAGTTCGTAACGTGCCATGTCTCTCAACCATCACACAGAAGCACTGACTTGACTGACATTGGTGTTGAAAATTCGGATGTTGTTCATGCTTTACGCTAAGTGGAGTTCAGAAGGTCCAAAACTGATTTCAGGTTTATGAACTCCAGTTTTGCTGTCTTTCCGGTCCTGGCAGCTTTGACGGCCTCGTCTGTGCCGCCGCCTGTAGTTGAAACGATGCTGCCTTGCCTACGTAGGTGTAGGTGAAAGAGACTACTTCCTCTAGGTGTCTCTCATTGATGGTGATTGGAACTTGTTGTTGTTGGTGGTGGTGGTGTTGGTTGGGCATCATCATCAGCCGTGTCTTGTCTACGATCACTTGAAGTCCCGTCTTCCTTGGCTGCCCTGCCTCTTAAGTCAACTTGTTAGTTTTCGCCTATAGATCTTCGAGCTTGTGTGACATAAGACATAAATGGTCGGTGAAATCGAAATCTTCTAGGCTCTCTTCATCGGTTCAGCCAGCGTATGCCCATCTTTTCGCTCCTTACTGTTTATAGCATGATCCAGTTGACCACAATCATGAAGATCAAGGGTGGTTGTAGGCAGCCTTGTCTTACTCCTTTCTTCACTTCAAAGGCGTCACCGAGGTTTCCATTGTAGATCATTTGGCATGTGGCGTCGTCATATTGCTGTTGAATGAGGTTGATAAAGACTAGTGGCACTCCCTAGTGTTGAGGCAACTGCCAAATTACTTATCGGTCGACGCTGTGGAAGGCCTTTTCAAAGTTGATGAAGTTGAGGTGTGGAGAGATAGTTGACTGACATTCTATACTCTGTTCTATGATCATGCATGGTACTGCAAGTTGATCCGCACATGATTTGTACTTTCTGAATCTAGTCAGCCTGTTCAGGTCGTAATTTTGAATTCAGGGTATCCTTTAGTCTCTCCAGGGTTATCATATGAGATTTAAGTTTAAATACTTTCTTATCCATTTACAGAGATAATACTTACCATAGTTAAATCATAATTTCAAACTATTTTTTCATTTATCTTTCTTATTTTAGTCGATGTTCTCTCAACATTCCATTTTTGTTAATGCAACCAGAGAAAGAACCCAGTAATGATGATAATACAACCTGTAAAAATTCTCAACCTACTCAAATTGATGTAGTCAAAAATCAGGTATGCCTCAAAATTTATATAAATTTGCTTATGAAAGAGTTCGACATTGTTATATAATTATTTCCAATATAGTAAATTGAAATAATGGAGAATATTTGTAGCTCAGGTGGATAGTCTTAGTTGAATTGTATTCTCTGAGCTTGAGTTGTTTAATCGTGTAGTCTTTTATCGTCTTTCTGGACGACATTTTTAGCATTGACTTCAGGATGACTAACTTCATGAAACTGAAAAAACCTTACAAACTTCTAAATCGATTAAAATGGAGTTGATAACTAACTTATTAAGTCATATGATTTCTTAGGCTGTTCTTCCAAAGATTTATTATTTTAGCTAAATATGACTACAATTGCTAAGATTGTTATTTCAAGTTGTTATTCACCGAAGACTGACATCAGTTGGAGGAACAAAGGAAACCTGGGAGCACTGGACAGCCGTTTCGTCCTAGTATGGAACTCCTCAGCAGTGCGCACACAAGACCCCTCCAGGGATCGAACCTGCGACCTTCAGGTTCCGCGGCCAGCGCGTTACCATTGAGCCACTGGGTCAGAATTCAATGCTCCATATTTCCGACTTGTGTTAGCTCACGATATATAGCGCAACCACCACCCAATGTCATCGTTGAGTATCTGTCCTCATGACCATCAGGCTTTGACTCCACCGGTCACGACTTCTTATTGGAACTTGGGGAATACTTCTCGAAGCTAGTCACCAATGAGCACCAGTTCAATTAAATTTTGAGGGAGTTGTAGAGATTTGGAAATATTTCAAGTTGTTATTCATTGTAGACTGACATCAGCTGGAGGAACAAAGGAAACCTGGAAGCACTGGAAAGCTGTTTCGTCCTAGTATGGGACTCCTCAGCAGTGCGCACCCACGACCCCACCAGCAGGGATCGAACCCACGACCTTCAGGTTCCACGGCCAGCGCGTTACCATTGAGCCACTGGGTTGTTATTATTATCTTCTTATGTTTCCAGCACCATCTACATTTAAGCATTTTTTTTTAAAACCTTTTTCAAACTTTAGCAACCCAAAAGTTCAACTATAGAAGATAAACAAATTGAAAAACCAGAAGAAAACCAAACAACCGATGAAAATCTTAGCTAAACAGTATTACTGATTCAGTTGATGCAAACTAACTAGTACATCGTACAAGTAGCATAATCAGAAGTCAAATAACTTTAAACTTGTAAATTACAGGTTACTAAATCAGTTTTAATTATGTTTTAAACCTGTATTCTGTTTAATAATTTTTTTTGGGATAGAAAAACAGAATAGATTTTTCAATTTCTTTCATTTTGTCTGTACAGAACATTCAAGCCATTAGTTATAAAGTAAGCTATCGAGTTATCTACCAATCGGATACTAACATTAGCTGTCTGTTCAACTACTTAGTACATTTGTAGAAAAGCCAGGCCAGTTCACATAATGTTCACCTCAGGTTATTTTCATTAGATAAGTCGTTAGTACATGGGTTAAAGATAGGGTCTTTGAGTTGATTCATTTCTTTCCTAATAACAAACTTCTGCTCAGCAATAATCTACTTTATTTAGAGTGAAATCTATGTGATTTCACTGGGCACAAGTGATAAGTTACTTTAAGATATACTCATTTCTGCATGTTTTAAATACCTACATGAATAATGATTGACTATGAGTAAACTGTCTTCAGAATGTAAATGCTTTCCACAAAATGAAACAGTGTGAAGAATCAAATATTAAACAAGACAAATAAGTATCCAACCTAGGTTTGAATCACTCAGTTCTTTGACCTGAATCAATCCAATTATACCACTAATGAGCATAGCCTCAAAAACAGCAAAATAGCCTTCACTTTGATATGCCTTACAAGTTCAGTTGATTGATGTGAGTAGCTCAGACAACTCATACTAGTCAGTAGTATATTATGTGAAGCACTATAATTCTACCTAAAGCTTCCTTGCAAAGATAATGAAGTATAAATATATTATGCCGATTGGTAATTTGCTTGAAAAGAGTTGATTTCCAGTGAAATTTATATAACGAATGAAATCGAGGACCCTTAGGGTCTTTGGTGAGCCTGTTGCTCAGCGGACATTAGCTTGTGACGCATAATGATAATTATTATAAAGGGATCCTTTAGGCTACAGAATGACAATCATCACAAATTTACTTTGTCATTCTATTGAAAAGTCCTCTTCAACCACAGAACACTGTCGAAACAACTAACGTATAGATTAGACCATTGGCTATACATTTTGTTTATTAGCTACAATCATTTATCATACGAAATTAGCGGGTACCTGAACTTGGATTCATTTCAACATTATCATCCCTTCTAAAGTGATTGATTGTTGATCCACTGAAAAAGACATAGTATGTCTAATTAAAGCGTCTTGCTTCGTATATGTTTTAAATAGATGGTTAAAAGATACTACTCAACAACATAAGTAGTTTATAGTCAGTCATCCTGATCTGTAGGTTTCACTAGCCAGATGAGAGTCCTCATCTGATTCTGAGCTCATTTTTCATGTAGCTAGACAAATCCAGTTCATATAGCCAAGTTGTTGAGATCTGCTAAAGGTAGCTAGGATTTATCATATAATATATCTTAAGCTGATAATCTAAGCAGAATTTAGAGGAGTGTGTTCTAGAGTTTTATAAAGCAGCATATTATCGGCAGTTAACTGTTTCATCAATATAAAAGTGTTTCATTTATGACTAATGTATAACTTAGAAACTGTCTGACGTTTAAACAGTGGGAAAATTTTTCATATCTGATAAGATAAAGACCATTTTTGTATTGTATTCCAAACGATCCATAAAAACAATACCAGCGCCTTTAACAGGTCGAACTAGTAGAAAATCTTTATTTTCCAAGATTTCATGCAGTCGCCTTCTTTGCTCATTTGTCAACAATCGTTTGCATTATGGCTCCGCATTGAAGTAATGATGACAGCAATTAAAAACAGTCGATTTGAACTGTTCAAGTTTCTTGTTTGAAACTAGTAGGAAATAATTTGTTTGGTTGATCAGATTTTCAAACTTGACTTTTATGTCTAAATCATTGGCAGTTGCCAAGGTATCACAAAATTTCGGACCGAGAGATGGCGCCTGTATTTGAATGGGAGTCAAATGTACCTTGGAGTAATTGAATATATGTTTTTCTGGTGCTTCTGGTAAACGGGCATGTATTTCTGACTCTTTAATACATCTCATCAACTTAAGTTTAACGTCTTCTGATTGACATTTTGACATGGTATCGATATAGTCTGTGAAATTAACGCGCTCGTCTTCGGATAGATTGAACAATCTATGGGATCTTAATGAAAGATTACACTCCAATTCAGGTAATCACGATTTCATTTCATCAATGATATTCAATGTGTGACGCTTTAAAGAATGATAATTTGGACGTAAACTTTTTCATTATGGATTTGAATATTCGCGTTTATCTATGCAGATATATATAAATACGATTGTACAGCTATAAGAGATGATATCGTTGCTAAAAATACTTAAATTAAAACTCAGTTTCGATACTATAGCTAATGACTTTCTATCGTGGGTTGGACTGAATTGATTATTGGGATCCACATAGGATTCCAGATGCCATTAGTGAGCGACTAGTTCGATCCAATCACCGACAGATATTCATGAACCATAACACTAGAAGATTATATTACACCCACCGTACAGTAACTGACTATTGTAACTCAGTGACCTAGTAGATAATGCCCTGGTGTTTGAAGCGATGTGTACTGTTTTAGAGTCTTAGTGGGAAGAACATCACCAACAGAGAGTTAGTATACTCAGCTGACGAGCCTAAAATACGTCGAAACTTGCATCCTGAATTCCACTGCTAGCCATTATCCATCATCAGTAATATTACTCTGTAGGCTGGTGCAATAACTTCAACTTTTTTTATGCACTTATCTTTAAAAACAGGTTACATTTACCAATCAGTTCAATTGAAATCTTGTTGGTTTACGTAAAATTCAAGTTCGAGATTTTTCTAACCAGAAATGACTTACTCTTTGAACTAACACAGAATATAGAATAAGGCAATCATGACATGAAATGAATTATAAGAATTTCATAAAAGTTAAGAATGGATTTCTGCAAAAAAAACATTATCGAAGCGAGCCACAAATGCTACGAAAGAAACGTTTTGAATGAGACACTGTGTATGATTTGTGTAACTAGCTCTACAACAGCAGGTGAATCAGTAGGCATACATGAAGGTGGTTGTTGAATGTAGAACAAACGTCTTTTTATCGCACTACATAACCGATTCTTGAAGATCTGTCTTTCGTTCTTTTCTGAATCCAAACACATAATTGGTTGCTTTTTTGAGAATATAAGAGTTCTTTTATTGTGTTGTCTAAGTTTCATAGTTCATGTAGTGAACCTTGAAAGATTACCGTTCTCAAATAGAACTCTTTACGTACTTCCAGCTCCTTAATAATTGCATCATTTAAATAAAATGGGATTCTTATTAATAGTGGGTGAATTAGATTCCTTTCCCTTCCTTTACTAGATGGTGGTTAGCAGTGGAATTCAAGATGCGCATCTCACTCTATTTGTGATTCATCAGCTGCGTTTATCTGCACCCCAGTAAAACGTAGTATTTCCACTGGAACTAGAAACTCATTACTTTAAACACCAAAGCGTTATTCAATCGGCCACCGAGACACGAGAAATATCTCTTGTGTAACGCGTATTAGTCATTATTTTCTGTTGATATTTGTTGTTATACTGCATCAAATTGGTCAACCTGCATTGGTATGTGGACTCACTTCCACGTGAATGCCTCGCTCAATATTGCTAATACTCGTTATACAAGAGGTGGTTGTCATGTTTTAGTGGCCAAGCAGATACGTTTTATCATCTACAGTGATGGATACAGTGGTCAAACCTGACGAGTCACAAATAAGATGAAACAGAGTCATAGATTTCCCTGCTAGCAACCACCAAGTAAACTAGAACGATGAGTATTTAGACAATATCAAGACATTTGTATACGAGCCCGTACACTGATAGAGGCCGATTAATTCTATCAAAGATAACAATAGGAAATTACAAGCATCAAAAATTAATGAGATAATTTTAATGGAAAACATTTTGAAAGAAATTTTAGCAAAGACCCTTCAGTTCCGCTGTCATCGAAGACTACAAGATATTCATTGACTTTGTAGAATAGAAGTGTTACAACAAATTGGTTTATTTGTAAAGATTATTATGTCATTATTTGTCCCTTGGGTTCCTAGTGGAACATACGGCTTTAGTAGCAAATAGACATTACACTCTCTTCTATGCAATCTCTTCAACCTGGCTCCACCAATGCCCAAAAGTTCTCATTTATTCCTCACACCATCTCCTCTATATCACCCTCACCTCCGACGCCCAACTCGTCGTTTCCCATCTCGGTTCCACTCGAGTGCTGACCCGGCGCATGATGTCCCCAGTCGGCCTTCTCAGTGCATCCCCAATCCATCTCCATTTTCTTTTGCATATTTGTTAAGCGATAGGTTCTTACTTCGTTGGTTCGTTGCCAGCCAGCCAGCCAGAGTTCCCTGTTGCTTATTCTTATTATTCTAGCCATCTGATCTTCAGTATCCAGTGGGCGTAGCCAGCTGTTGATGTGATCTATGTTTGTAGTTTGTTAGAAATACATTTTGTAACGCGCCAAGTCTCTGAACCATATAGAAGCACTGACTTACCTGACTTACATTAGTGTTGGAAATCCGGATGCTGTCCACGCTTTATGCTGAGTGCAGTGCAGAAGATCTCCACACTGATTTCAAATAAATTAAGGCCTGTCTTGCTGTCTTTCTGATCCTGGCTGCTTTGACATTCTAATCTGTGCCTGTGCCGCTGCCTGTAGTTGAAACGATGCTGCCTTGCCTAGGTAGGTATAGGTGTGGGTGAAGGAGACAACTTCCTTTAAGTTTCTCCTGTTGATGGTGATTGATGCCTGTCGTTGTTGATGATGTTGTTGTTTGGGTATTTTCATTACCTCTGTCTTCTCTATATTCACTTGAAGTCCCGTTTTCACTGCCACGCCTGTTTGATTTTTTCCTGTATATCTTCAAGTTTGTGTGACATTAGACACAAGTCATCGGCGAA